GTCAACTGGTCTATAAATAAAACCTGAGGCCGGTTTTTATTTTACGAGTCGAGTCGAAATTCGTATCAAATTGTCAAAATAGCGATTCTATTTTTCCCTACGTATTACACGGTACATCCGGCGCTGTCGTATTCGATATCGAGACAATTCGACTCGACTCGTAAAATAGAATCCGGGGGCTGCACTCTGTAGGTATATCAAAAACCCATTAAAACTACACCATTTCCAAATCCAAGCGGCAGTAAATGACATTAAATAACCTAAATTGTAAACAAACTCCAGCCTTCCTATTGATTGAAACGACATTTAATAGGTTGTAATGAAAATGTCCAGCACTGGGACTATGAAACAGATAGAGATCGTTATTTCTATTACTATGGCACTTGCTGTCTTCTTCTCTCTTTTCGAAATCAATAGAGAAGAGACGTCAATAGAGATAGAGAAAATATCTCTGTTCGTTACATAGTCCCAGGGCAGTTATGTCATTACTGCCGCTTGGATTTGGTTCAAATATAGAACACGATTTATCAACAATCGGCAGTTCAAGCAGGTCAACGCGTAAACTAATGTTTACACGGAATGGATATGAAAACCGATTCAGCCCATGGTATCGATACCCATTTGGGTCCTTCTCTCCTCAGGGTCTCCTTACCCAAAGGAGCAGTAGCTACACTTCTCTTCCGGGTCGCCTTACCCCAGACAATCTTAATTGCCCTTCACACCATCGCCGCCTATACGTGCAGGCACCAGTTGCATCCCCCCGTATATGTACGTAGAACCCCGAACGTGAGAATCATGTGGCCTACCTACGTAGTGCCTCTTTAGTGATGTACCCACTAGCAGACAATATACGTTAAGCTCGTTTTTGTAGTTGTGTGTTTTCCTGAAAAGCAACCCCCAACCTCAGGTCCCACCCACATTAGCCGCGAGGCGTGTGACATATGGTGGAGGTGCCGTTCGAAGAACCTGTGATGCTGAATCTCCCTATTTAGCATCGAACTACCTAAACGAGGGCACAGTGCTCAAACAAATTTTGGACTGTCGCCATTGTATCAGGCATGATGTTTCAATTTCAAAGTGCAAATAGTTGTTCATAAAAGTGATATTCACGGATGTGTCAAGGACATGGACATAGCCGTATCTCAGCCGATGATACGTCGTAACCTGAACTGAGTAGGGTAGACGGAAAAAAAACTTTCCAACTTTCCAAAGTCCCAAAATAAGTCAGGGGACGTACCTACAGACGTTTTGTGCTACAGACCAACACCTGAAACAAGTCAGGGTACGTCGACTACTACCAACAATACGAAACAAGTCAGGACGTCAAGTGAGGGAATGTTTCTGAAAATAAGGGCTCCTCAAAACACATAAGGGGACGTCGCCAAATGAGGGCATTTGCCAAAAGTTGGGGCACTTGCCCTAAACCAGGCCATCAGCCCAAACAAGTGAGGGGAGTCTCCAAAATGCCGGGTACCCCAGAAAGGGGTCCCAACATGGAAGTCGATGGAGCCAACAACGACTCGGACAATGATAGCGTCTAAAGCTTTTCCTCAAACGCTTCGACAGCTACTAATGTCACAAAAAGAAGCGTCCCAAAAATTAAAGCCAGGCTTGGACTGCACATTGACGGGGGCGGGGATTGCAGGGAAAGCCTCAAATTTCTAGTGGCTCACACTGAAGATGAGGCCAAACACCTGCTAGAAAATATCATCTCGCATATTATGTGATGCCACCCAATTGCCAAACCCAAACCCAAAACTAGGCAAGCAAACAAGAGGCCATTGAACGAAAGCCCTGAATAAGACAAGGCCAAAAAAGGGACTGAAAACAATGAATTTGCTAGACCCCCCACCACGCTCCTCCTCATCGAAACAGGACTCTGCCACTTTGGCGCTGATCAAAGCGACGATCTTTGGCAAGCTGTTCCAAATTGACACCAAGAACAGATACCAGATGCTTGAGTCCAAAGACCCGGAGCCAGAAACAACACAACTGGACAATTCCCAGGAGGAGATCAGGACCAGGGTGGCAGACTCCATCCAGGCTAAACCTCCTTCATCCAAAGCCACGGGGAAGAAAGCTCTCCCCCCCCCCCCCCCCAATTGTGGTAAAGGGAAAACTGTCAAACCAAAAAAAAATTCTCGAGATGGCGTCACACATCACCAGTGAGCTACTCGAGATGAAATATGCCAAAACCTCGGTCATACTGTACGCAAAGAACATGGCAGACCACGACAGTATGGCCAGGCACTTAAGCCAAGACGGTGCGGAATTCCATACCTATACTGTTCCCTCTTAAAAGACTCACGCCTTTGTAATGCGTTACATGAGGGGGAACTACGCACCGTCCGAAACCAAGGAGTATCTGGCAGATAGATACAACATGAGGGTGAAGGAGGTTTACCCAATGAAGAACACAGGGCAGGACAACCCACTGTACCTGGTGGTCACAACAGCTGACTGGACATTAGCAAAAATCAGAGCCACGGCTAGAATAGTCTTTGCTTCCCGGGTACAGTGGGAGGAAAGGAAAAACCGTAAGGACGTCTCCCAGTGCATCAAGTGCCAAGCCTGGGGCCATACGATGACTGGGTGCCATAGACGGAGCAAGTGCTCCAAGTGCGCAGAAGCACACATGACGGCCGACTGCCCTAACAGAGACAAGCAGTCGGTCTGTGCAAACTGCAATGGAGCACACCGGGCAATGTCGACCAATTGCCCGGTCTACAAATACCGCAAGCAGATGCTTGACGAGCGGAATGCTCCAAAACCCATCCGTACCCGCGATCACGCGCACATACCCTAAGCTCACAATTACTAGTGAGGAAGCGTTCAGTGAACCCGATCGCCCAAGGGCACAACATTTTTTTTTTTTTTTACATAGTCTAAGTTAATGAAAAGTGTGGTTTTTCAATGCTTTTTCTCCACAAAACGAGCGGCAGCGCTCTGCAACTCCAAATCCGAGCATTCCACCCTTATTCTTGAGACAGGTCAGTGTAATGACCTAGTGCGCGCCATCCGTGGTATTCACCAGCGACCTCCGGGTCAAATAATCGACGTTAAAGGGCAACTGGGGAGCGTCGTGGAAAGTAGTAATAGGAATGTGAATAGAGGTTTGCGCCAATAACATCGGCAATGGCTAAAGCGCCCACAGCTCGCTAGGCGAGTATGTGTGCACATTGAAATTAGTCTCAAGAAGTCCTGTCCTAGTTTTAAGTAAATGTTGTATATTTGTAGTTTGAGGGGGGCCTATCCCCCCTGCCTGTAAATGTAGAACTATTGAATTTTAAAATAAAGATGTTTGAGTTGAGTTTGAGTTTCACAGGAGGGGCATATGTCAAGTGGTCTATAAATAAAACCACTCTGTATATCAAAAACCCAATAAAACTAGAACACGATTCATTGACTGTCAGTAGTTTAAGCAGGTCAACGCTTAAACTTATGTTTACACGAAATGGATATAAAACCCGATGCAGCCCATGGTATCGGTACCCATTTGGGTCCTTCTCTCCAATCTATCCTCAGGGTCTCCTTACCCAAAGGAGCAGTAGCTACACTTCTCTTCAGGGTCCCCAGAGAGTCTTGCCCTTCAGGGCATCGCCGCCTATACGGGCCTGAACCAGTTGCAACCCCGTATATGTAGGTAGAGCCCCGAACGTGAGAATCATGTGGCGCACCTACGTAGTGTCCCTTTGGTGATGTACCCACTATCAGACAAGATACGTTAAGCTTCTTTTTGTAGTTGTGTATTTTCCTGAAGAGCAACCCCCAACTTCAGGCCCCACCACCCACATTAGCCGCGAGGCGTGTGACAATATGTATTAGTAGAAATATATTTTTCTCAACTCCTCAACTCTGAATTCAAGGTATTCATCATGGTTGTTTGGTCAGGGATGCTCGTGTCCCGATTTGCACAGTAGGCTTGAGGCTTTTCGTGCTACCCCTTGCTTAAGCAAGTTCCATCCCTTTGATGGAAAGTGCACTTGGACGAGAGCCTCCAGTATCTCTTTACGAGTTGTCGTAAACCCCCTGTGGGTTTTCTGATAATCCCGACTAAGTTTCTGGTGAATAGGTGCGGTTTCCGACGTAGATTCTGCTTCTCCGCAGAAGCTTCTCTGCCCTTTTAGCCTTCCTTAAGGTTTAGGTAGGTACTGCACTTTTTCCGATTGGTACAAAATCCTACTTACTCTGGCGGTTGTGTTGGTAAAACTCTGTTGATCATGCTTGCATAAAATAATAACTAAATAAGACTTGGATCACTGAATGTATTAAGTGACATATTCAGATATCAAACATAAATCAAAGAAGAGGCAGAAATATTCAATAAACAAATTCTATTAAAGTGTTTTTAATCTATTTCTTCTTGACCTCACACGAATTGGCGAATAGATCCCCTAAGGCGTATCTAATAATATACTGACGGACTTATAAACTGGCGTCTGCGAAAAATTAACTATCGCGATCCGATTCTCATGGCACGGTATTTTTAGATCAAGTTTACGAGTATGAGTATGAACTATTTAATTAGGTTATTATTGAACAGACGATGATTAATTTAACTAACGGAACGCGTGCGTCTGGCTGGACGGAAATTAAAATTTCACATTATTTACTAGATCATGTTCTAATTATTATGCGAGGCACAAACAGAGAAATTATATAAAAACTTGCTACTAAACATACAAGAATGAAATAAAATATGTCTCCAACGCCTTTATTAGACACTGAATATTCCAGTGATGTCAAAATGAAGAGCAAAATATGCATGTCCACGATACGCTGGTTTTTATCAACTTGTTCATCGCATTTCTGCATAATTTTGCATCTGAATAAGCAGAGCAAGGACACTTAAGAAGAAAAAAAATCCAAGAATTAAATATGAGACGCGTGGCCTTAAAAAAAATTACCGCCCACACTGAATAATAAATGTCGTAATATCTATACATATATTATTGTTTAATGAAATTACATACCTTGGTTAAATAATTTTTTTATTACAGGCCCCCTCGGTCCTACCTCCAAAAATGATACTTCAAGGTAACCGAGGAGGGAGGTTCATGACCAAAATCATCACCCTTGGAGGTCTTTGGGCACTTATTATCTACACGGCAATTCAATTTAGATCTGTAAGGATAGATGTTCCTATGCCACATATGAACAGTAGATTACTTTTACAAAAAAGGTAAGTTATAATTAGTTCTATTTTCGGTCTCCAAATCGAATTAGTTTTTGAATTATTTTGATTGTCCATCACTTTTTGAAAGGTCCCTGGGGCGTTCTTTATAGTCCAAAAGGTTAAACATTTGGGTTAGTTGGTTCGATCACCTTGAAAATATCAGTTTTTGAACTTAGCAACATAGTTGAAAATAAAATGTTGCATAAGTTACCTACATAAAATATAATTTAAAAAAATCTAAATACGTCAAATTACCATTACCTATTTGGCACAGGGCAAGGGAATAGGAAATAGTGGAAGCTTTTGGCATTTTAACTAGTTGCTAACAGCAGAAAAAACGTAGGATTTCAATATTGCGAAGATTGCTGCACCCAAGACTTTACTTCCCACTAACCAAACCCCTCATAGTTAATAATAATTAACATAAGAATTACATTTTTATTTATGAAGTTTGTGGATTAACTATTGAAACCAACTAATACCTATTAATTTTTTTTAGACAAGACACATTAACCAGGCATGATTCAACAACTGAATCAAATGACCTCGAGCCTTCAGTGGACAAAAGGGAATCGCCTAGTGAAGAAAAACTGATTTTGGATATACAAGACCGACTGCCCAATTTGCCCATAGTCTATTGGAACCAACATAAAAATTTACCGATGGGGATGAATAACACTTGTGCAAGGTATAGTCCAAGAAACGGGGATCTGAAAAGAGGGTTTACCTCAACATAATTAGAAGTTAACATTTTTTTTTGGGGGGATTGGTCCATTTTATTATGCTAAATAACATATTAGATTTGTGACCTTGTACTTCCATAGGGTTTTTACTTAGGGGTGGTTTATGGAGAACGCTTCTCAAGGGGATGGTCCAATAACTTGTTGTAGCTGAAGTTTTTTACTATGTAAAACTTCGCGACAGCACGCCTATAGTTTTTTTTTTCTGCAGCGTCTTGAATAGTATCATGTTTTTGTTCAAGGTCACTGAATCAACGTTTCGCCTGTTTGCGCGCATTTGATGCAGCAAGGGCCGAATGCATAATCCGATTTCAATATTTCAAACACCGCATTATTGCTAATGAAATGCACTCTCCAATGCTTTTTGTTCGAATTTTTTGCTTGAAAATTAAGCGCGCACGGAATTGTCTGATGTGCCAGGAAATTGTAAATTACATCGAAAACTACCCCTTTCTTGCATTCACTGTAATTTCTAAACGGGGCCAAATATTTAGTGACAGTTTTCGAAAATCGGCAGCCCATTTATTTCTCTTATAATGCCCAAGCGGATTTTTTTTTCGTTAATTACTCAATGACTTATTAGCTGAGTCAATCTGGGGGGTCAGGGTGCAACAAATGAGCAACAAGCTGATTCTAGCGGGAATGTTTAGTAAGCGACCCCTTATTTAACCTCCCAAAAGACCCATTCAGTCATAGGGGTGGAAGGTTGAAAAAAATGGCCGCCATCTTGAATTTTTTGTTTTTTTCAAATATCTCAGTTTCTATTAGTTTTTTCGAGAAAACTCTAGAAACCTTTTTTGTGGAGAATTTAATTCTCTATAAAAAGTGTTCATACTTTTTTCTTGTAACCTAAAGGATAACGGAGATACAGAGCTTTTTTTAGTAAATATTTCAAAAATTTCTTTTATTTTATTTATCCCTTTCAAAATGTTTAGAAAAAGTCTAAGGTTAAATAGAGAACAAAAATGATTTCCCCTGTTCCACCTCCAGCAAAATGCGCTGGGAATGCTAGAGGTGGAACAGGGAAAATCGTTTTCGTTCTCTATTCAACCTTAGACTTTCTTTAGACATTTCATTCTATCGCATTAAAATTGATATGCAAGATGTTTACTTGCCAGGCGTGTATAGGACTTGGACATGAATGCAACAAGTTCCTTATTAGAATCCAGAAAAGCTTTGCAGGTGCCTTCCAGCCCATTCCGTTTTTAATGCCATCCATAGTGAGCTGGCCATTGGCAGGAATAGGAGAAAACCCTCTATCTAATTTTGCTACATCATCCTCGATTCACACAATTCTGATTGGATAACACAACTCTTTGGTCGGTTTTGAGCTTTTCCATCTCTGCTTCGAATTCGTGAAGTCTTGAGCTCAACCCCGGCAGTGCTTGGAAACAGTCCATACAGCTTGGACAAAAATATCTTAGGCAGCGTTCTTTCATTATGAAAACTCGGATCTCAGAGCTCCTTACTCCAGAGCAATTTCTGCATAGAATCTTGCGACAAATGTCACATGGTTAGCCAAAAAGCTAATTTTTGTCCGCCTTTTGGAAGCAGGCCTTATCACAGGTAGATGCATATCAGGATTGATTATGGTAGGAATAAAATTTAATACAGAATGTTTATTTGGCTTAGGTCCGGTTTATTCATCTTCAGATAAACTTGCTAGTAACTATCTGCAAGATAAATTTATTGTTCTATTATTCTATTGGTTGGCGGATAACTGGCCGACTAATGAGATTACAGATTGGGTTTTTATCTCGTTCTATTATCCTATTGGTTGGCGAATAACTGGCCGACCAATGAGATTGCAAATTTTTGTGCTGCTGATAAGTAATACAATTTATCTTTTTTTCTATTCCTATTTGAGTCCCAATAATAATTTCACAAACAAAATGACTCCACACACGATCAGTATGACCTATATAGACCCATAAAAATTTGCAATTTATACGGAGCGCATACATACATATACTACTTACTTTGATGGATCGCTTTTTTGGATCTTCAACTAAACCCTCATGGGTATGTGACCCATGACGGTTTTGTTGCGCTAAAAGTGAAAAATTTATAAATCAAATTCTAAAAAAAAACTATATCTCCGTTATCTTTCATGCTACAAAAAAAACATACAGACACTTTTTATAGAGAATTGAATTCTCCACAAAAAAGGTTTCCTGAGTTTTCTTGAAAAAACTAATAGAAACTGAGATAATTGAAAAAAAAACAAAAAAATCTGCAAATGCTGCAACATTTAGAATTGCAGTATATTCATGAGAAGAATAAATAAAGCCATCGTACCAAATTTCAGCGCTGTGCGACAATTTTAATTCCTTTTGACTTTTTGAAAAATTCCGCTCGACGTGTTCAGGTCAATAAGTCATTGAGTAATTAACGGAAAAAAAAATCCGCTGTGGAATTATTAGAGGAATAAATGGGCTGTCGATTGTAGAAAACTGTCACCAAATATTTGACCCGTTTAAAAATTACAGTAAATGCAAGAAAGGGGTAGTTTTGGATGCAATCTATAACTTCCTCGCCCATTAGGTAAGTCCGTGCTCGCTTAATTTTCAAGCAAAAAATTAGAACAAAAAAGCATTGGAGAGTGCATTTCATCAGCAATAATGTGGTGTTTGAAAAATTAAAATCGGATTATGCATTCGGCCGCTGCTGCATCAAATGCGCGCAAACAGGCGAAACGTTGATTCAGCAACCTTGAACAAAAACATGCTACTATTCAAGACGCTGAAGAAAAAAAACTATAGAACATAAAGGGGTGCTGTCGCTGAGTTTCTTATAGCAAAAAACTTCAGCTACAACAATCATTTGAAACCTTTTGCTATTGGACCATCCCTTTGAGCAGCGTTCTCCATAAACCGCAAATTACCCCTAAAAACCACCCCTAACTAAAAACCCTATGGACGTAAAAGGTCGCAAACTTAATATGTTATTTAGCACATGAAAATGGACGGATCCCTCCCAAAAAATGTTAACTTCTAATTATGTTGAGGTAAACTTCATTCGTTCATTGCTTGGCCTAGTAAGAGTTTTCTAAGGTGCAATCCCAAGTATCGACATTGATTTCAACGCAAAACTACATTTTTGTGTTAGCAGGAATGAACATCTTCTTATTTTTATTTAGGTTCCCAAGTATTTTTGATCTCCAATTCAACAACAACTATTGGCAAACCGTAGAAACGTCCAATGGTACCTTCCACCTGTTTGGTGCCTATTTGGATAAGAGAAAAAATAATCGACTTGGTCCTACTGTCAGAATCTTGGGTATGATCGATAGAATAGAACCTACTGTGATAACTCACTGTCAATTCTGGTTTGACGGTAAAAAGGAGCCTGTGATAACTAAAAGTTTTGAGTATAAGTATGTTTGGTAAGTAAACATCAATTGATATCTTATGAAAATATTTTAAATTGTTTCTTTGTAGGTATAAGAAATGGGGTAATTACAAGCAAGGTATCTTCCAGCCCTACTTGATTGCCTGCGTCATACCTCAGGGTTATAATGCAAAAGTCCCACAGTCGGTGTCCCTAGTCGAAAAACCGTGTAATAATTCGACGACTAATCTAAGAGTGATATATAATAAGCCTAAAGATGAGAAGAAAAAAGACTTTGCTGTATGTGTGAAGGTAAGATAACGTTTTGAGAAGAAGTAGTGTGTCGAATATATTTTTTTTTCTTAAATTATCATGTTTACTCCATTATTCATATAGAACGAAGTCAAAACGTAATGAAATATCCCAACCGCTTAACTCTGATAAAAATATGTTTTTGATTAAATTAATGGTGAAAAATTAGATTCCAGCAAACCTCATACTCCAAAATTAGCTTTATTATTGTGGTTTGAGAATAAATTAAAGTCAAATTAGCAAATAAAAAAGAGCGGACAGTAAAAGTTGGCAAACGTACAAAGGCACTCTAATAATTAATGAAAATAACCTTTGCCCGATGGAATTTGCTATTTTAAATGGTGGACATCAGGATGCACACTGAGAATGTTGAGTTCAAATATTCAAATCAATACTGAAAAAGTCATGAGCAATGATCATTTTGATTTCGTGAAAATGCTCTGTGAAACGAAGACCATAAATCATCCAGATTTCACCAAAGGTTTTAAATCAATCAAAAAAAAAAAAATGAACATAGGTTATAGGTACCTACCTACTAAATAATAGTATTGAAAACTTTGAAAAATCATAATATTATGGACTTGGTTGAGGGCCAAATGATCGTTTAAACACAAAATCTCAACATTATCCCCGAAAGAATTTTGAAAACTGAAAAATCATAACTTGAACCATAGAACTGAAAATAGCATGAAGCTAAAGTTAGAAACGTGAAATTCTGCAAATCCATTTATATGTTAAAACTGTTCAATGCATGATACGGATTTTTAGTATTTATTTCAATGACGCATTAATTTTGTTGAAAAATACACCAAATTCTTTCTTGTATCAAATCATTTGTAACAAACTGAGTATGCGAAGTGTCGATTCGCCCAGACTTTACCTTAATCCTGTGAAGGAGTTTTTGAGCATTTTCTATAATATTTTGCTTGTTATGTTCAAGGAGCAATTATTTCGGATTTAGATTTGTTTCCTGTTTGCATTTTTGTTCACGCAGCAGTTGCTATAGGTATTTACCCCCGAGGGGTAAACAGCTGATCAAAATGTGTACACCATAAATCCAATATTTCTAGATAAATCCACGAAATCCACAAAAATTTGAAGTCTTCTGTGAAAATCCAAAGAAATCTGTGTAAAATTTATGGACTTCCATGAGTATCCACAGAAATCATATTTTGAGAATATGAAGATATTTTTCAGCTTCTCAAATAGTTATCGCGACAATTGATTTTATAAATGTAGATTAGTTTGTATCTTTCATCAATGTCTTTTAACTGTAAATCACTCAGTTGCAATGGTACTTCAGACTCATTAACATCCATAGATCCACGAACTTTGTTGACACTTTAGAAATATCATCTGGTTTAAGCCAAAAAAATTCTTTTTCTGTCTTCTTTTTTTTTTCAAAAACTTCACTACGTATTCATTATCGACAATTTTTGTGATTGAGCCTAAATACCACTGCATTGCTTATAATATATGGCATCAAATCTCCTATATTCAGGCTGAACAGCATTATTGAAGGCTTCGACCTCGGGTTTAACAGTCGAAGATGTCATATTGGTTGCAGGAAGATTTGATGAAAGGCATTCCAATCCATTAATATTTGTCCCACTGGTTTCATCAGAAAAAAATTCAGTGCCTGTGCTGTCATCGTATTTGACACTCATTTGGTCATTGTCTGAAGTTTTGGAGTTAGAAGTCTATTCATTGTTTGTCTTCTTGCTACGAATAGATGAGCACAGTCACTTCTTTGTAATCTTTGTTCTATTTGGGAAAATCTTCTTTTTGGGCTTAATAGATCCATTCACGTTTTTGAATTTGTCGAGAAAAATCTTCGCAGCCTATCAGTACACTATCTCTGTGTTGCCTCTTTTTATAGCTAACATAATGAAGATTTTTCAATGATGGTCGACTTTCTGTTGGATGCTGTTACTCGTACTAGCGGACCTTTTTTAAAAACGGTGTCTGTTTCTTCTGGCATCAGCCTTGGTGAGAAATTTTCTGAAGGGATATCAGGGATGTCCTGGTATGGTGATAACGTATCCAAAATCTCACAGTTGTGATCATCTATATCAGCTAACTCTTGGTCAATATATGTCCTATAGGAGTTGAACAAGGTAACTCTTTCGCTAAGTACAAAAAGATGGGTTCCTGAAATAAAATGCTTCAAATCGGATACTTTATTGACTCAAACTGATATATTAAATTCAAATAGAATATTGGGGCAAAAAAACCATCTATATCTAAAACCTAATCTCCGAAAGCTAATATGCCGATGTATCGAACTCTAAAGTACGTAGTCAATGAAAGTTCACTTAGCTGCAGCAGAAGTACAGTAGTACACCCGAACTTGTGAGGAGGGCCATCGCTCTTCACCTGTCAAGCCCTCTTCCTCCTTCGCGTTACACCTTCTTTGAAAACGTCCAGTGGACGTATCTCGCTATATTCGACAATTATTCTGAATGCAACCCAGTCAACAGCAAAATGCACCCGAAGCGATCTTCCAGTGAAGCGCTTCGTCAAAGGTGACAGATTATCCCGTATTTTCTGACAACTGTCAAACATACTCTGCATCTGTAACACATGGAGTTCAAATGTTGCAGATGCAGCTTCGGAGTTTTTGAATAAATCAGTAAGTCATTCACATAGGCGACGACAAAGGGTTCCACCTCATTGCCTAATACTGGACTCAATGCGCCAATAAAACTACCGACAGAGGTCGAAAATCCGAAAGGAAGCACCTTGAAAACATAAGTCTGAACCTCGAATGAGAACCCTGCAAACTTTTGGTGCTCGCGCACGATAGGCACCTGCCAATATGACGCTGACAAGTCAATTGTGCTCAAACATTGGTCTGCGGAGAAACTAAAGAGCATCTCTGTAGGGTTCGGAGGCATGACATGGTCTTTCGCCATCCGTTTATTAAGATAAGTGGAATCCAAGCAGACCCCAATCGTATTATCTATCTTTTTAACTACAGTTAAAGGACTCACGTACTCCGTGCGCTTAACTTCAACCACTCCCCAATCAATCATTTCCCTAATTTGCCTTCTTACCTCGTCCCTGAAAGCATGAGGGATAGGGTAAGGTTTTACATAAAAGGGCTCGTAATTGTTTAATAAAATTTCATGTTCGTAAGTATTTATTCTTCCTGGTTGGTTGGAAAATATGCTTTTATATTTTATCAAAAGCTCATATAAACTTTCTTTCTCTTCTTCGCCAAAAACCTCTGAATTGGAAGCAGCTTCCCTGATTTCCAAATCCGAATAAATGTGCCTCCCTGTTCGCCTATCAAAACACTCGCCCGACACTTCACTCACAACCATGCTCATTCCACCACCATCCTGTCCCACAAATGTTAGTCCATATTCCTTGCCATTAAAATTTCCGAGAAATAAATTTTTTCGGAAGTCAACAATTATACCAAACTCAGTCATCCAATCAGAACCAAGAATAAAATCTCGCGATAAGCCTGGTACCACCAAACACGAATAGTCCATTTGAGTGTCTTCAAATCTAAGATTCAGAAATACTTGTTCACGGACCTTGGAATTCTTATTTCCCCAAGCTCCAATTAAAGTCGCACACTCGGTCGCACATTTGGCTGGATTTTTTGGTACACTTGGATTATTTTTCAATATACGGTTGAATAAATCCCCGTTACTTGCGAGCCCGAATCTATAAATGCCTTAATTTGTATTCCATCAACTTCCACTGAAATCAGTGGCATTAAGTTGCTCTTACTCGATATCTCCTCTGCTTCTCCCTCCGATAACAGATCCTGTGTCATGTCTCGATTAAAAATAGTTCGCATGGCGTCGCGGTTATTATCGCGAACGTTTCCCGCCTGACGCCGGTGCTGTCTTCTTGAAGTGTAACCTCTATCCTCTCTCTGACCCGTGTTTCTCGATTTATAGGTCAAATCTATTCTTCGGAGGTAGTCTTCTATGAACTACAAATAGCCAACATCAAATGTAATCGAAAATACCACATCAACCCAGACCTCATCCGACCTGAAAACATTTTATTGCCCCACGTTGGGCGCCAAATGAACAAGGTGACTCTTTCGCTAAGTACAAAAAGATGGGTACATAAAAAAAAATGCTTCAAATCGGATATTTTATTGACTCGAACTAATATATTAATGAATTCAAATAGAATATTGGGGCAAAAAAAAAAACCATCTATATCTAAAACCTAATCTCCGAACTAACGCTAAAATTGTGAGGGCCGTCGCTCCTCTCCTGTCAAGCCCTCTTCCTCCTTCGCCTTACACCTTCTTTGAAAACGTCCAGTGGACGTATCTCGCTATATTCGACAATTATTCTGAATGCAACCCAGTCAACAGCAAAATGCACCCGAAGCGATCTGCCAGTGAAGCGCCTCGTCACGCCTCGTCAAAGGTGACAGATTATCCCGTATTTTTTGACAACTCTCAAAAACTCTCTCCTTACCAACTATATAGCTGCCATGCGTTAAACAGTGGCGTGGTACAGAGTTGACTCTGGGGGTGGACGGGGTGGTTGATGGTGCAATAGCAACATTATTCCAACTATCTTCTAGAACTTGTATATCCAGAGTGTCAGCGAGCTGTAGCGCATTTTGTAACGCTTTTTCCACACCGGCCTGCTGATAGATTTTTGAAGTAAGGCAGAACATTTTTCCCTTTCATTGCTTCTTTTTTTTTCTGTGGGAAAACTTAAACTTCTTGTAGATCATTCATAGAATTTTTTAAAGTCCTGTCCAGTCTTCGAATAATATCTCTTATGCTGAAGTTAAGCATACCACATCTGGTGAAGCAGGTCTTGTACATCTAACGCAGATTTCAAGTAAGATGATAAGGCAATATTGCCTTATCATCTTCACTTCCTGGAATACCTTCAAGCAACTGGATGACTGATACAGAACACATCTATCCCGCAGACTTGAAGCACAACTTATCTTCGCCTTTTAAATTCAATAAGGCTGTTAAGAAACGTTTGTCCTTTGAAAAATTTAAAATTAACTGGTCCATATGCGCAGGTTCTGCAGTACAGAATCCCATTGTTAAAACCGCTTTAGGATTAAGAAATCTTGTGCGCAGTTTTGTTGCGATATGTACAGTATCCTGTACATAGGAGATGTCGGAAAAATTATTCCTATCTTATCCTGCCTGATACCATTTAAATGTATACCCTGCGCTGGGTAAAAGTGAGGTATAATGGCGCATTGCTTTTAATAGATGAGTATCACTATCACTGGAGAAATCGAGTATGGTTATACCCCGCCTCTCCAAGTTTTCTTTCATATGTTTCCATCCTATTGAGACATCGTTGGAACCAAACCCATTATCAGTTCCAAAAACAACGAGACAATAAGGGGCAGATTTTGGTAGCAGAAATCTACTGAAATCCACGAATATCTATGGACATCCACAGAAATCCAAATAAAAATTTTAAAAAAAATAAAAAATTAAAATATATAAAATATATATTAAATAAAATTATTATATATAATTTTATTAAATATATTATTATAATTAAAATTTAATATATAAAATAATAATAAATTTTTATAAATTTATTAAATTAATATTATAATATATAATTAAAAATTTTAAATAAATTAATTATAAAATTATTTTATAATTTATAAATAAAATAAAATATTTATTAATTTAATAAATATTTATTATATATTTTAATATTTATTATTATTATTAAATTTATATATATTTAATATAAATTAATTATAATATTTAATTATTTATTAAAATTATTTTAATAATATATAAAAATATATAATTAAATATTATAAATTTTATAATTATTAAATTTTTAATATTAATATTAATTTTTATAATATTTTATATTAATATTATTAAATATTTTAAATATAAATAAAATTTATAAGCACATGTATGAGTACAAGTATATTGCTTTACTGGATATTGATGAGGTAAGATTTAAGCCTCAAAATATTATCTTCCTAACTAAATATACCTGATATATTCTTACAGGTTATAATGCCTTTGGAAGGTACAACATGGAAGGAATTAATGGACAAAATTCTACCCAAAGCATTAAAAATTAATCCGGATGAACGTGCATCGTATAATGTCAGGAATGTGTATTTTCTGGATGATTTGATACATGATCATGGGTGAGTTTTCGATAACTATTTCTTTGAAGAATGGAGGCTTTCACGGCCGGTCAAATCTAGTTAAAAAAAAATTCCGGGTCCATTAGTATTTCTACCTAACGTTTCGTCTATACTGCTGCGGAGTCATCTTCAGAGGCGAAGTGTTCTCTTCCCTGTTCCTCCGATGACTGTATTCGACGTTGTTCCTGCGTTATTTATATCCAGGTTTGTGGGCGTGGCTTGTATTACGCTATTTTCCTTGTCTTGTTCTCTGAAAGGAAGGCTCTTTGTTTTTCGGAGAACTGGCAACCAGCTTTTGTTCAGGTTCAAGCCCTCTACTTTTCTGTTAAAGTTGTGGTGTTTCTGTATCTCTATGGGTTCTCTGTGGAGTCTGGTGTAAAAATGTTTGGTTCTATCCGATGCTTGAGTCTGGTCGAAACGAATGATATGGTTTGTTTGTGTACACAAGGATTTTCTATCGATTAACCAAAGGTTATTCAACAGCATGCACTGGAATGACTGGGACAAAATTGACCGAATCACGTATGACACTAGCGAAAACAACCAAGAAAGTGGTAAACAAGTTTGAGTCCTTGAAACCAGTGAACACTTCGAAACCCACAGGCAATGATCGCACAGTTGTCAAACTGACCCAACGCGTTCTGACTGATTCGGAAACCAGTGTTCTAAGAAAAGGAGGCAATTTTGTAATAACACCGAAAGACCTGCCATCCGAAGACATCATAGCAAATGTGGAAGCCTGATTATTTGGAACCATGAACAAGCAGAGCTCGATAACTTGCTTAATCATCTTAACTCAATAGAACCCAGGATACAGTTTACGCTGGAAGTTGAGAAGGACAACAAAATTGCATTTCTCGACGTCCTCTTAGAAAGATTACCCTCAGGTAAACTGGGACACAGAGTATATAGGAAGCCGACGCATACGGACAGATACCTCAACAAGGAATCCAATCACCATCCTAGGCAATCCGGATTTGTGAACCCAGATACCCTCAGGACGAGATGTAACAGCTAAAATCACCACTTGAAGGAAATGGGTACTCCAAGCAGATAAATAGAGCCATAAGACCGAAGCAACAGCGCACAAATAACAAGGAACCAGCACAGGTGGCAGAAAGAGCCTTTCTTCCCAATATCAAAAATGTCACAGATCGCATAGGACGAACGCTAGAAAGACACAACGTTAAGCCTATTTACAAGCCCATAAGAACAATTCAGCAAAGTCTAAAATCGGCCAAGGGTCCTAGAGCACCTCTTGAAACGGCTGGCGTCTATAGAATTCCCTGCTCTTGTGGATCTGTCTATGTAGGAACAACCAAACGCTCTATCAACACCAGGGTCAAAGAGCCCAAAAGAAACTGTCAGCAGGGACTAAGAGATCAGCAATCGCCGTGCTCACACAAAAAAAACCATGTCATTCGTTTCGACCAGACGCATAATTGGATAGAACCAAACAGTTTTACACCAGACTCCACAGAGAAGCCATAGAGATACAGAAACACCACAACAACTTCAACCGAAAAGAAGAGGGCTTGAACCTCAACAAAAGCTGGTTGCCAGTTCTCAACAAAGACCCTTCGTTTCCGAGAACGAGACAAGGAAAATAGCGTAATACAAGCCACGCCTACAAACCTGGATATAAATAACGCAGGAACAACGTCGAATCCAGTCATCGGAGGAACACGGAAGAGAATACTTCGTCCTCTACCACACCGCGTTTGAAGATGTCTACCGCAGCAGTAGACGGAACGTTAGGTAGAAATACTAATGGACCACGGCATTATAGCCCGGAAAAATCTTTTTTACTAAACTATTTCTTTGTTTGGATACTTATAAAAAGATATTTTCAGATGGTTCAAAGAAATCCCCAAATACATGCACATGCTCCAGCACGTCTACAGGACAAAAAACTTCACGAAACCCGGTCAATATGTAAAATGTTTCCACAATACTGAAAAAGTACTGACATTGCACAATCATTTTCCTTTGAGCTGCCTTGGCAGCGGCTGTACATCTTACCCTATTGAAACCACAGATGCTCAACTACAGCACTACAGAGCTGACTGTGTTAAAACCCTCAAAAAGACTTGCGAAGAATTTAGAAAAACTTCCGTCATGGATACAACAATATGGAAATATAAAGAACCCTTAATCCAAAGGGTTAGTTCCACTCTTAGGACATTAGGGTTCTTTGAAAATGTTAATGCAAATACGAATCCAGATATTTCAGCTAATGCTGTGAGAAAAAGGTAGTAATGATGAGCTGTTTGATTGGATGTAAAGAATGAGGAGCTAGAGCTCTATGCTCTATCTCGTTGTCGCTTTGAGCTACCTCAAGCCAGCATATAAAGAAGAATAAATATAATTGTAATGTCAAGAGATTGTTGGTCTTAAGATTAAGCGTATTAATTTTGTGGCATATTTTCTATGTGTATTTGATTCGTCTGAGATGCGGGACGTTTTGTGGAAGGATCAAAAATCTGGTTTCTGAGTCTAGTTCAACAGGAAAGAAAAATTAACCGAATTGGTGATGAGAAAACTGGCCCTTGATAGGACGAATTAATGATTGAGAAATCTTATTTAGCTGAAAAAGAAACAAGATTTGTTGCCAACCAATCAAAAAATTATTTTAAGATAACGAAATATTATCTGTGATGAACTTAAGACCAATTGCCTATTGAATTGAGCATAAAAATGCGATTTTTAGGTAGTGAAAAGACTTTTTTTTTTGTTGTTCCTTTTTTTTAGAATACCTACGTGAAAACACATCTCAATAAAACTCTAGCTCCCTCAAATTTCCTTTCTAAATTCCATAACTATTCCTTTAATACATTTTGGCAAAACCTTTTATTTTTGTGACTGTATTAAGCCAAAATATCTTTTATTGTGATATATTTTCTATTTAACAATTTAGCTTACTTATTAGACAATTCCTACATATTAATGGCTGGTTCATATCTCTTCAGTAATTTAAAGATGTAAAGCAGCCATTATACCAGTGCCTTTGAAGAATGAGAAAGTAACCCTTAGGTAGTCTTAAATTGCACAAACTTATGATTATGTCTTGAAGGACCAAAACGCGGTTTTTGAATTGATATTGCTCAATGATTTTGGCATAGAATAGAAATCAATACCTACCCTAAAATTAAACAAAATGGACCAAAAAAAGATTTACAAAAATTTATGTGAGTATTCTTAAGGCTTTTATTTTGCTCAAATAAGATGGAAACTATTCTGTATTTATGCCTTTTTATCATTTTTATTTTATTATTTTATGTTTATTGTCATCCTACAGTAATTATTATTATTATTTATGTGTTTACAGATAATAAGGTACCTATCTAGGTAATTCATATAGAGAAGATATAATGGGTGGTATGAATAAAAAAGAGCATTTAGTTTCTACTCCAAATTTTGGAGTAAATACTCCACGTGGTATGAATGAAAACTACGAGCAGATATTTCGCTTGAGTAGGTACTCCTATGTATAATTTGGTATGAGTAGATTCTCACTTTTGGTATAAATAAAATAGTAGATTATACCACGAGTCAATAATGATAGCTATTATTCCCGAGGATTATTACGAACTGAGCCGCGTTATCGGCGAGGGAGTAACATTCCGAGGAAATAATAGCCATTATTGCGAGTAGTATACTCTACTTTATTTACGACAAATTAATTTATTTGAGATTTTCAATGAACAAATTTCATCCGTCTCATAATTTTCAATACAAATCCACAAGCAGTACACGTTTGACACTGACACTTTTGTGGAATAATGACCATTAATCCCGCTACTCGTCATTAATCCCTGGAGGAATAATATATGTCATTATACTGCCAAAATCACAAAAATAATACGCACATTATATATTAGTCGTAAATAAAATTGTTTATGCTCTTCGGCAGGAGAATCTACTCCATAGTTTTAGAGTCTGCTATGCAGTAGACTCAACTTTCTGCTCCAAGTTATTTCAGTGCCGATTTTCCCTCGGTAGAAGGCAGAGCTATAGCAGAGTTCTTCAATCTTAACCTGCGTTCGGAAAAATTTTACAAAAATACTAAAAAAAAATACGTGTGATTGGGACTTTAAAACGTTGTACCGGTTTAGTAAAAAAAATGTGGAGTGGTTATCATTTTTGGGTGTAGAGTCGGGAGAAAGAAGAGATGGTGCTTTATGCAACAAAGACAAATTTAAAATATTTTTAAGATACGTGGGTGCCCCGGGGTTTCAGGCAGGAGTAGGCGAGGATGTGGTGTTCACCAAACTTCGGTGTCTAAAGTTGTATCGGAAATAGCTGATAAGATAATTCAGCAAAGTGAACGGTGGATCCGAGGGTGGATCAAATTTCCTCGCAGTCCTGCGGATATAAAACGGTATCCGCCAAAATAAACAGTACCGAAATCTAGAGCTCTGAGTAATTGCACACGCAAGTTGCATTTATCATATTTCGCTTACTTGGCATTAGTTATGAGGTTGACATTAAAGTTAAGGCTAAAATATTCGTTATTAGGTATCTTTCAACTTAAGAAACAGTTTTCTTAGTAGAGCACAATTTTCGGTCATACGGATTTGGAAGGAATAAAGTATCAAGTTTGAAACGAGTCTCAGAAAAATAACAGCAACCACTCTTAATAAATATTTTCAATGATTTGCAGAATCGCTATGAAGCTTTTTTGCGTCGCTATGATGCATTTTTTGAACATATACGCATGATACAAATTAATAAATTATATAATTTATATGTTCAGTACTGTTTATTTTGGCGGATACTGTATTATCCATTCACAATCCGATGTCCACAGGTACAGGTGAAATTTATTACCTTTCAATGCTATTTGATAGGGAAAGGTGATAAATTTACCCATACCTGTAGACATCGGATTGTGAATAGGATATAGAGGCGAAAGAGCGGTGGAAAGCAAAATAAAATATTGAGTATCTACTCTAGGAGTATGTACTTATCAAACCGAAATCTTTTTTATTCTACGAAATGGAGTATAAGCTCAGACTTCATACTCATGCTCACGAGTCTATACTCCGAGTTTATACTCAGTTTTTATTCATACCACCCCATCCCAATGTGTTAATAAGGACTGGAAATAAAACTTACTTCAAATCAGTTTCACCTGCAGGAATAAGTTACAATCTGTTACATGAAGTTTTATTTGGAGATCTAAACCCATTATCACTGCTCTATATTATTAATTCATTATTGTATAAGTGATTAAGCCATTTTTGTACATAGTTTTTCATTAAATGTTACTGCTCATTTCATTTAAAATTAAGTGATAAAATAGTTACCTAAATAATTATTGTTGTCAACAAAAATTATTTAAGTACCTATGTATATAATTTTATGTATGTAAATAGTTAAAAAATAAACTGTGCCAGGTGCCTCATATTAGTTTTTTTTTGAGACACTGGGTACACTTTTGGGTGTAAATATACAGGGTTATGGCGAAACTTATTTTATAGCCAGATAAAATATGCAATTTAAATTTAATCCTTAAATAGTAAGTTTCATGATATAAATATTGTTATTTTTGTGAATATCATGTCATTTATTACATACATATTATATAGGTATCAAAAATACAACTTCCTTGTTCAAACTATTATGTGTGCCTATCTATTATTTTTTCTTTCTTTATTCAGTTTCATCACCTACATTAAAGAATGCATCACAACTACTACAATACAAATTTAAACCAATGAAGTTTTGTATGTCTTGCTAAACTTTTTTCTTGATACTTATTTTCAATTTATTAAATGTTTATTATTCAAGATTGCCAGTGAATTTGTTTTTTTTAATTGTTGTCATTATTTAATAGAAATAAAATAAGTTGGGCAAATTTTTGTATGAAAACATAATGTGCCTTATAAGTATTCTTTCACCTTCCATGGTGTAAGTAAGACAAGACTCATATTATGTTATACTTGTTTATTTATTTATGTCCTTGATAAAACAATTAAATATACAATAAAAATATTGTACACAAACAAACGATGTTTCATTTCATTCTGATTTTCGATTATAGAGGAAACGAATAAAAGCGCATGTCTACTGAAGCAACATGCCACAACTTGATACAGGTACACCAAATATGTTTCCAAATCAGAGACTTAGATTTTAAAAAACTATGTTATTCAAAATCTAAAGTAACATAAGGAATACGTTAGCAAATTGCTACAAGTAATACTCAAAAACAAAAGCTAACTATTGGCGTTGCAGCGTTGTTTTATATAAAAATTGCGTTTACCTGCAAGCAAGGGATTTCCCATTATGCGTTCACATTTTTAGTTTAAATAAACAAATAATCTAATTAACATAACTAGGAGTTTGACAATGTGACGGAACTAGCTATTGCTCCTTTTTGGGCTTTAGTCAAACCGCACCAGGGATGCCAAAAGTTTTTGACTGACTGTAAAAATTAACCACTAGGTATTAGATCATTTAAGCCTTGTATTATGGGTTACGGGTTGCCTTGATCCCCATTTATACAAATAAAACGCTGAAATAGAATAGTTATCAATTTAGATGAAAGTAATTCGGTATAGTTATCAATCAAATCCTATTTAAAAATTCCTAATTGGACGTGCACTCGAACTACAAATTTTATACTTAAGCAATGTTTTCTGAAGTAAGTATCTTGATTCATAAAAAGTAGGAAAATCTGATAATGATAATAATATAATTTATGGTTAAATGTTAAATAAACGAATACACAAATTAATTATTTAAATGCACGAGAGCACAACATAAATAATTCGTCAACTTTAATCAGTTCAGTGTAATCACAAAATGTTTATTAATCCTTGAAGGTTCTTTGAATTATTGGGAATTAACAATTTGAGCACTTTTCTGCGGAAGTCGGTGAACAATATGTGCAATATGTTCTGAGCATATATAAAGATATATGCTCAGTTTTTATATACAAATGTACAAATGTTAATTTCAAGAGTGTGAAAACAAATTTCTGCATAAGCGTTAGAAGACACTCCAATTTATAGTGCATTTCAAGCGAATCACTAATTAGTATTTATTGTTCGACTGTTAGAGAAATTGTAATGGTCTTACTTGCTTAATCCGGTTCATGCAGACAAATCCACAGGGCGATTATTTATTCGTTTATCACTATTCACACTGGCAGCCAGGGAGTTTTCACTGAGAAACACAACGATATGCACATGCAGGCGCGTTGAAGCCCGGCGAAAGTGAGAGAGAGAGCCAAAAACAGGCGCTTACTAGAGAATTTTTCTCGTCCGAGGTGACTTGCAATAATTAAGGGTTAATTACATGAATTGTAATCAATAATATAGACCATGTCGGGCCTTGAGACAAAGAGAGTAGTATTTTACTATAAATCGCGCGTACTAACAGGGGTTTTGGGGGTTTTGCTTCTGGGAAGCATCAGAGGGCGCGAACTCATCGCTTATCCTAAGACCTAAGCAGATCGCAAAAACTAGGGATTTTGTGTGGCGGCTTATCTTGGGCTTATTTTGTCCCTATCAAATTGTTTAATAAATATGAGGTTTTCCAAGATAGGTTCTGGTTCACGATTTTCATTACGTTTTTTCAAAGTTTTACTTTGTTTTAATAAAAGTTTTTCCTGAATTTCCTTATTTAAATTAGTTGAGGAATCAGCTAAATTATTTATGTAATCAGTCAATCATTTGATTGGTGATTGCTCTATTGGCATAGCATAATTTAAATCTCCTTTTATTATTTGAAAGGGTGTATATTCCCCTGTGGTATAAGTTGTAGACTTGTGATGCTTTCACGCAACGTGAATGGAATCTTTCGATGGGACTATTTGAAGTTGGATTTCTCGGAGTTGTATAGTGAAATTCAATTTTATACAATGTACATAAATCAGTAATTATTGCATTCTTAAATTCTGCTCCTTTATCCGAAGTAATTTGTTGAGGTATTCGGTATTTCGTGATCACTAAAGTACTTTAAAAGTTGTAATGCAATTTCCACGGTTGTTTCAGTCGTTATCGGTATAGCGTATAGCTTGACCGAATTTTGAAAAGCTATATATAATAGTTGAAAACTTTTCTTAATTTATCATGTAAGTATCAATGTATAAATGTTCGAAAGGTTTTGCACCAATCGGTGTTGGTTTAAATAATATTTTATACGGTTGACGTTCATATTTGGTTTTATTACAAATTTCACAAGCTTTCTCATGCTTAGACATCTTTGTCAATATGAGGCCAATAATATCGCTTCTCCAAAGCTGATACATTTTCCATTATTCCTCGATGAGACGTTTTAGTTTCATGGAAGAATTTTATGTTTTCTTGTTGAATATCATTGTCCATTATATCTTCTACGAATGAGTTAGATATATACAATGTAAAAGAATTGGCATTAAATGACATTTGCAATGCTCGTATTATTATTGGTTGCAATGTCTTGTTGAAAAAGTAAAAACAATACCTACATACCAGGTGGCACAAATTATTTGATAGGAAAAATATTATTCTTCTTTTATTAGAAAATGGTTTGATTATTTCTTTCCGAATTATATTATCATTGGAATATCGAAATATCTGATTTTGAAACAAATTTAAATGTTTCTTAGTATAAGGTGCTCCTAATATTGGATCTTCAAGTGATGTACCTATGTATTGTTTGTTCATTTTCTGAAGGTGCTGTTACTGTTCTTTCATCTTCAGAAATTTGTTTAGATCTCATTGAAAGATAAGGTTTTTCTTCTTGATGCATTTTCGAAGATTCGTTTGATTATATTGATCTAATCTTTCAAAGACTTTCTTTAAGTTTTTAATGTGTTCGTGTAGAGATGTTGAAAATATAATTATGTCATCCATATATACCAAGCATATTTTATTTTGTAATCCAGACAATACATTGTCCATTGCTCTTTGAAATGTTGCTGGTGCAAACCAAATGGCAATCTTATAAATTCAAAATGACCATTTTCAACATTAAAAGCCGTTTTTGATATAGAATCATTAATCAGGATGCATTTCTTCTTGATGAAATCCTAAAGCTAGGTCCAAGGTTGTAAAGTAATTACTGCGACCTAATTTGTCTAGTATATCTGTGATGTTTGGTAAACGATACCCATCACCAATTGTCTTTTCATTAAGTTTTCTATAGTCTTTCACCATTCTCCATTTTTGAATACCAGAGGCATCTTTCTTTTTTGGTACTATCCAAACTGGGTATGACCAAGGACTGCGTGATGGTCTAATTATATCATCTTCTAACATTTTTTTTTTTTTATTTGTTTGTTAACTTCTATTTTATGAATATAGGAGTATCTATATGTTTTTGTATGAATTGGAATTTCATCTTTCGTATTAATCTGATGTTTAACACGATTTGTAAATGTCAATTTATCATCAGGTTGATAAAAGATTTTTGGAAAAGCATGTATTACAACTTTCAGTGCAAAAGCATCTAGCAAAAGATCTAAAGATTCTAGAGATTTTGTTCCATGCTCATAATTTTTCAATGGCATTATTTGCCGTAAATTAAATATTTCAAAATTATCGTCACTATAAAGAAGGGCTGATGAGTTTTCTAGATCATTAATATGATAATTAATCATTATAGAATGATCTGTCAAATTATGGACTTCTAGAGAAATCATTCCATTTTCAACTTTCACGATTGTTGATGGTATAAGAAAATTATCATCTTGGCTAAGAGGAGTTAAAATTTCTGTTCCTTCTAGTATATTCGTATTGAAATGACATATTTGAATGGTTTTAGCCCGAATTTCAAAGTGTTGATTATCAAAATCTGTTCGAAATTCAAAAGGAATAATTGTTTCATCATTATAAAAACACATTCTCGTAAAATCGATTGTAAATAAACACAGAATTTTTCAGAAAGCTTTGGCATAGAGAACACCATTGTCAAATGGATCTGTATAATGCTGGAAGGCAAAACCATTAGAAGTTTAATTGGAAGTACGAAGATCACCGAGAGAATGCCCGCAGGGGGGTATACTATCGCCCTAGCTATGGTGCCTAGTGCTGGATGGGCTGTTCCGCACTCTGAACGGGGAAGGTATGTACACTCAAGGCTACGCGGACGATCCTGTTATCGTCGTGGCTGGTAGAATACCCAGAACCATTAAAGGGATAATGCAAAGAGCTCTTAACATAGTCGAAAGATCACAAGCTCTCGATAAATCCAGATAAGACCGAAATAGCTCAGCGGCAGCTACACCTTCCCTAACATTGGGACTGATCTAGCAATGAATTTGAGATTATGATAAAATTTATTCAGATAGGTAGGTGCCGGATCAAAAAATACCTACTGAAGATAAATGGCATGAAATTTGACGTGAATAAAACCTTTTTATGAACTTAAGCTGAAGTATAATCTCCAGATTAATAAATGGAGTAATTAATATTGAAAGTATAGATGGTGATGACACTAGTCATAGTCATCGTATGAGTCATCGTTTAAATATTTCTAGGATTTCAAGGAAATAACATTTGCAATTTTGTTTTGTACTAGAATTATTCAGGTAGTTTTTATTCAAAACTTAAACAGTGCTCGTAAAATTGGCCCAAAAGTATGGTCAATATATTCATAAACCTCTTCACACCCTGAAGCGGAATCGACATCTGCACTAGCGCCCCACAATATAATCCCATGAATATCATACTTCACGATAGCCGTTAAAGATTTGACGAGGTCTTCCTAAAAAATATATAAATTCTTCATGAAAAATGACAGTTCCTATCAAAATCACATTACAACTGGGAACCCCATATCTAGAAATTTCTTATAGTTACCCGCGGTATGAAGGTTTGAGTATCCGAAAATTTATACCAAAAGTACGTCCAAATCTTTTTATCGCTAGCACATTTATCTTTAATTCTTACAGCCTCGACCATTGAAGTTTCAATGTACCGTACATGTTCCTCTTCTTTAAAACATGATTTCAGATATACTGATGGATATAAATTATCGCTTAATTCATGGATTTCCATGAGGCTAAAATAAGATATTCGTATTATGACTGGGGAACGGTATTTAACTTCACTAACCTATCGTTTTCATCCCTAACTGCTTTGGCACATTGACGCTCAGTTCCGTTCGTGAAACAATAAGGAAAATGATAGTAACCCCATGATCCTTTCGGTCTAAATTTTTTCGCAGTTTTCAAAGTTTCTACCATAAATTTGCTAGCAAATACATTAAACCTAAAATATAAATTATTAAGTGTCGTCATTATTATGGTATAATGTATTTGACCACCTTTTTTCAGCTTTTGGCCTCTCTTGGAGGTCAATTCCCTTTTTTTTTATTATCGAATCCCAACTATTTACAAAAATACTGATATGCTAATCTACATATTGATAACGAAAAGGTAAATTCAGATTGATAAAACCGTTTAAATTTACCTGGTTACAATTCGGGCTTCTAGTTGAACAAACGTGCTCTTTGCTCGCACGACAACTCAACAAAATGACGTAGATTTTCGTCTCCAGAAAATTCTGAGTGGTTGGCTTACAAATAAGGGGATTTACGACCAAATCCAAGTTTTCACCCCAAAACCAATTATTAAGCCAGCTACCACTTGAGATGTTCCAAGCAACGTAGCAAAGAGGACCGCTGGTAAAATCTGCCAAAAACTTGTTGTCTGCTCAACGTGCGAATTTAAAGAGAACGACCCTATTTTTGCCATTTACCAGGTGGGCGCATATTAGAAATTTCCCAGAATTCTATTTTTATCCAAGATGCCCTCTGGTGCCAGATTGACGGTCTTGACCAGGAAAACAAGACAATCAGCTTGAAACGAACAACCCAAACCACATTGATGACAAACAAAACTCAAAATTGTTATCCAATTTTCTCCCCTATCACTAATTAATTAATTAATAATCATCATTTACCCGGTTTTAGCCTAAAAACCATCAAACCTGTTCCGAGATAGCAACGTTATAGCAACAATGATCAAGAACCCTCGGCAACAGCGCTTCCTGAGAAGGATCAACAAGTGTCCCATAACCACACTTATTCGGGAAAAATAAATGAAAAAATGTAAATATTAGTGCAAATAAGGGTGAAAAAGCGATTTAAAGGGTGTGAAAGTGAATTGTGGTGTTGAGAATTTTTAATAATGGAAAATACGAGACTCGTAGGTAAGTGTTGCCAATTGATATTTATTTGGAAGTAAACAAATATTTTTATCAACAGCTAGGGTTTTTTGGACAACTTTCGTAAGCTAAATAAAATAGATTTCGGTCCTAAGAGTAGGGCTTTATTATCCTAAAACTACCCTGTCATCTGAAAACAAAGAATTAACTCGGTATTACCTCGAAAAATATACCTCTGTTCAACACCCACATATTGTTTCACATTCAATCAAAAAGGTAGAAACCTAGTAAAATCCAATGGGCAACCTATCAATCACCAAAAAATATTGAACCTCAGGTATAAAGCTTCATAAATACCCTGACAAATACCTGAATTAATTACTGAATTTTTTCGAAACTTTAGTTACGTACTAAGGCAAAATTTGTACGTAACACCCCTAACTTGTCGGGGAGAATTAGTACCATTCTCAAATGAAGCAAAGTATTTGGGAATTATCCTGAACCAGACTCCAAACTGGAACGCTCATTTGAAAAAAGTAAGCCAAAAGGCAAAATTGTCGCTTTGGAACTGCCACAGGATCTGCGGAAAGACCTGGGGAACAATTTCAAAACAGATTCACCATGATTATCAGACCAATGATAACCTATGGCTCTGTAGTATGGTGGGGCAAGGCGAATCAGAAAAGGGCCCAAGCCGAATCAGAGACGGGTCCAAGCCACACTTAGCGGACTGCAGAGAATAGATTGCCTGGCGATAACGGGAGCGTTGCGCACCACGCCTACAGCAGCTATGGAAGTTCTCATAAACCTAACTCCACTCCACATATACCTGAAGAGGGAAGCAATGAGGTCAACGTATCGGCTGTAACATGCTTCAAAAAACACTTCGGAGGGGAGAAGCGCAATGCAACACACGGTGCTTGTGGATGAAATAAATCGACACGGCACCCTCAGCATGCCTTCTGACATAATGCCAAAGAAAACCAACTGTGGTTTGCCTTTCAAAACAATGATTCCCGACAGAAAACCATATTTTCTGATAGCCAAAGCGTTGGCATTCATACATTGCACGTCGTAAACAGCATGGAACTGCAAACAAGCCCTGACCCAGCTAGGGAAAAAGAACAACGTTTCACTAGTCTGGATACCGGGACATACCAGACAAGAAGGCAACGAAAAAGCGGTCAACTTGCGAAAGCTGGATCGGAGCCTAACTTAATTGGACCAGAGCCAGTAACGGCTAACATCACAATCTCGACCTGGGCCAATACAGAGGCCAAACAATATTGGTCGAGACTACCAGGCATGAACCATGCAAAATCCTTTGTACCCTGTCCAAAAGGGGGGAAAGTGGCAGACATACTTCTGGGAATGGGAAGGAAGAGCCTCAAAGCACTGGTGGGTGTGTATACTGCACACTGCAGACTCCGTTATCATATGCACAGGTTCGGAAGAGCACAAAGTGCCGAGTGTCGCCTATACATGGAAGAGGACGAAACTGCAAAATACGTCCTATGCAGGGCACGTGTCCGGCGATAGGCAGAATCAGGCATGCTGTTTTCGGGGAGTCAGCTGTTCGACCCGAATACATAAAGCATGCTTCCCCCACACTTATCTCCACCTTCATAAGAAGGGCTGGACTGATGGGGGAAATATGAAACTCGGAGTGATTCACAATAGACCGTAGGTCGCAGTGGAAGGGCCGACATCGGACCACTCACAAGAAACCTAAACCTACATACCGTGTCGAATTTTCCAGTGAAGAGGTGACTGCTTGAGAATGTTTGATAACAAATTTTCAGTTACACAAAACACCTTAAAGAGGATTCTCTAAAATCTAATAAAAATTTAACTTTCATGCTCCGACGAGACCAACCGAACCCTTAGGCTATTTAATGACTTTGTATTATTTAAAAAAAAAAAACATACTTTGAATTGACAAGATTGTTTCCAAATCTCATTAGCACATAAACTAATAGTTGTATACGAAACTAATTATCACTCACTATAAAATGACATTAATTTGCACTCAGGAGAAGGATTTTATAGTCATTCTAAGAAAATCAATAAGTAGAAACTTACCCAGTTGTATAGAAGGTTATACAGTTGACAACATTTTTTTGTTCTGATTACACAGCATCGATGTTATTGACTCTTTATCATTGAAAAAATCTATAGATATGAGTGCTTTCACAAACTTAATATCGTGTATCATTCTGTTAGGTTTACTAGAAGAGCTGTAAGTAAATAGTTAGGTAGCACAGTCACACTTATCATTTTCATGAAAACTTACAATTTTTAATTATATTTTTATCAAACTTATTATATTCTTTTTCAGTTCAAGTCACGAAGGTAAATCTCATCAAAACCCATCCTTAAAAGTAATCTGGAACATCAAATCATTGCAGTGCGCTTCCCACGGATTTGATTTTGCAGAAATATTGAAAAGCAACAACATAATCCATAACGAACACGGTAGTTTTAATGGAAATGTCATAAATTTGCTTTACGATCCGGGTAAATTTCCTGCCATTTTGATGAAAAATAATCAAGAATATTTGAGAAATGGCGGAGTACCTCAAGAGGGCAATCTGAATGAGCACCTCGAAAGTTTTGAGAAAGTTGTGGAACAAACTATACCAGATCTAGAAAATCATGGTAGAATTTTTATGGAAAAAAAATTAGAATACTTGATTTAATATTTAAGGTTTGGCAGTAATAGACCACGAAAACTGGAAGGCCATTTACAGGCAAAATAATTGGGGAAAATATATAGCCTATCAAACGTTATCTGAAAATAAAGAAAAGAAAAAACATCCAAAATATTCGAATGAACGAATCATAGAAGAAGCTTCTAAAACGTAAGTCTTATTGTCAATTGTTGTGTTGTTGAGACCAAAACAAAAAATATTCTAGATTCGAAGATGCTGCCTTTAAATTTATAGAAGAAACCATAAAACTAGGAAAAAGTTTAAGACCAAATTCCCAATGGGGCTACTATCATTATCCTTATTGCTTTGCCAATGGGAAAACAGACACTTGCCATAGGCGCGTTATGGAAGAAAATGACAGATTAAGGAGTCTCTTCGAAATCTCAGATGTACTTTATCCGTCACTTTATCTGCAAGAAGAAAATACATCAGAAGAAAGGGCGCGCTTTATTCGAGCCTCTTTGGATGAAGCTATCAGAGTTAAGAACAAACTTCAAAGAAATAAGAAAATTTATGTTTATTATTGGTATAAATATCAAGATAGTGAAAACTTTATAAGCAAGGTAATAAATTCTTACTCAAGTTTTACAGATATGGCGCAGTAACTATATAGGCGCAGCTCACTTGACACAATATATCAACTATTTACATTAAACAGTCAATGTTTTGACATCGAAATATTAAATAAAAGTAGATGCCTGTTGTTTATAAATCCTTATCATAAGAGGTTTGCTTGATAAACCTGAAGAGAATTTGAACAAGATTTGATGCTTTATGCCCAAGAAATCCTTAGCTTGCAAAGCCAAAATCATTTTCTAGCCCCACTGCCAAAAAAAAAAAACTGCAATAGGAACAAAACAGTACGTAATGCTTTTTTCTTAGAGGTTCTTCAAACATTATGTACTCAGCAACTATACAATCATCCATCGGTTCAAAAAGATGGCTGTTTGTTTTAAATATTGTGGCGAAGTGAGCTGTATTTACCTACTTCACCTCATCTATATCAATTAGGTATTATTCCAGCTTTTCATATCTCTTTAAGGCTTGCATGTCTTAATATTTTGGTTTCTACTAATTTCAGGAAGAGCTTACCAGTACACTAAAAATCATAGCAAGCTACAATATCGACGGTCTTATACTTTGGGGAGCAAATGCAGATGTAAATACGAGTCCTAAATGTGGTGAAGTCTACGAATATATAAATAATACATTTGGTCCAACTCTAAGAAATGTTTAAAATAGTTTAGAAACAACTTCAAATAAAAAATATTGTAGATACCTACTTCTCAGAATTTTCGTTGATTTTATAAGAAAAATATTGATAAATATACTGGATATGCTTGATTCGATTCGTTAGTAGGTACTTTAAGGTACCTACTTGAGCACCCCATTGGCTTCACCAGATAAATATTCATATTCTCTCTTAAGAATATTCTCCCTCTTTGCACTAATACTGCAAAAAAAATTTGATGGAAAAATTCCAAAGGGAATGAATTAACCAATAATTTCAAGCTTTACCCAGTCTATATTTGAAACTCACTCACTTTTAATCTTGTGTAAATTTGTCTATAAAATATTTATTTTAAATCATTGTCTATAATGAGAATCTTTTTGTTGTATGCATACTGTATAGGGGCATACTCCCCTTATGTGGTTGTATTGAATTGTAGGGTACTTGCACAAAAATCTTATTCAATAATCTCCCTAATATTTCTGTAAGAAAAAATATTCATACATTCATTTTCTCAGAAATTCAAATTTTCAGAAACGTTTTTCATTAGTTTACGTCACAACTCAATATCGGCCTTGTCGGATTGTCGATTTATTCCTGAGTAAATTTGTACTATTCGGGGTGTCCCACCGGGAACCAAATCCATCTCTATATGAAAAACTGTGTGAAGATTTTTTTTTTAAATTTGACAGTAATATTAATGACGTCAATGGGAGCAACTCGGCTAAATTATTTTCAAGATGGTGACACTTCCGGTTATACCGGATGAAGGGAAAATCATATGTAAAAAATGCTAAAAACTCGAAGCGATTAAGTAATTATTAATGGAGTTATGATTTTTTTAAATTCTTGATGTTTTGTGAGATTTCACAAATAATTTTTTCACCCAAAAACTTAAGTGAGTGGAACGTTGAAATTATAAGGACTTTTTCCTTAAGGTTCAATGTAAAAAATACTGAAAACTCAAAGCGATTGAGTTATTATTAAAGGAGTTATGATTTTTTTTAAATAATTATGTTTTGTAAAGTAAAACTTTATAAACAATTTTTTCACTCAAAATCTAAAGTGGGTGGAAAGTTTAAATTTTGAAGACTTTTTACTAAAGGTTCAAGGTAAATAAATATAGTTTAAAAAAACTAAAAAACACGCTTTTATAGTAAATTGAACTAAAAAGTGAAAAATAATTTTTATTTGCAATCATATTATATGTAATCTTGTCATTACTGACTTTTTAATAATTTGTAAGTGACACTTTACCTGTGTCACTTCCCTCTTCGATTTCCCTCACCGATTTCCCTATTCGACTTCCCTCACCGATTTTCCTCACTCTAATTTATTTACCTTTGCTGGCAACAATAAGAACATGTCAGGTAAAAACGTCAAAGCAGTGAATGACACATTTTGGCATGTTTGTTTTATTTTTTTAATATCAAAAAAACTGATTAACTAATCATAATTAATTGTGTGCTTGCAAATAAAATAGTATACAAACCTCGGAGGAAAGTTTTCATTTCTGTCTCTTGTTCATTTTTTTATTTTGAAGAAAAAACTTTAATTCTTATTTGTGTTTTGTTTATATTTTGTGGGATTATTGAGATTATGGGAGGAATGGTTGACATTGTTGACATAAAGACACAATCAAAAAATTATGGTGTGACCGGTGCGACACCTGCAGCCGGATTACAATTTCACTAGTCGACACGAGTCGAGCGTCTCATATAGGCAACAACAACGTTATTTGTGAGTCGCATCCTTCGACTTCGAGCAATTAGAATTCCCATCCTGGAGTGTGCCCGAACTACTTCCTGAACGACACAGAGTGCGCGCACCATTTATCATTTATGAACGGCTAGTGCGTCGCACCGCACCGGTATCACACTCACACTGAGTGTGTCATTCCTGAATTCGCCCCAGAGATTTCCAGACTTTTGCAGACATTATCCAAACTTATTCAGAGCTTTCCAGATTTCATCCAGATTTATCCAGACTTGTACAGACTGATCCGGATTCTGGAAAATGATCCCCAGGTCTTTTTTTCCAGAATTTTTCCGACCCTTTCAAGAAATTTCCAGGCCTTTTCCAGTCTTTTGAGACCTTTTCCAGAATTTTTCCGATCTTTTCAAGAAGTTGCCAGGTTTTTTTCAGACGTTTCCAGACTTGTCCAGACGTTTCCAGACTTCCAGACATTATCCAGAGCTTTCCAGAGTTTTCCAGACTTCATCCAGATTTATCCAGACTTTTTCAGACTGATCCGGATTCTAGAAAATGATCCCCAGGTCTATTGGGACCTTTTCCAGAATTTTTCCGACCCTTTCCAGAAATGTCCAAGTCTTTTCCAGACGTTTCCAGAGATTTCCAAACATTTTCCAGACTTTTCCAGGCTTTATCCAGATTTATCCAGACTTGTTCCAGCTCACTTGGTTTGTTCCAGGTTCTTGTTCATACACTTCCCAAGGGTCCAAAAGTTCGCCAGTGTCGGCACAAGCGACTTTGGCGCCCTAGGCAAATGTACTGTGTGCCGCCCCCGCCCCCAAAAATATGTACAATTATGCATGGCTATTTTAAAAACATGCGTTTTATAGTTTTATAGAATGAAGAATAGCAACATAAAAAAATATACACATACATGCCCGCCGTAGGCGCCGCCGGATGCGAAAAATTTTTGGTATCACGCCCAAAACGTTAATTTTGTGCCAAAAATATTCATAATATAAAATAAGTAGTTTTTGGCCGCTCGCCGTACAGTGACTAAATAAACCTTTACAAACAGTGGCGACAATAGAGGTCCCGCCGCCATTTTGTGCCCTACCTGTTGCTAATTTTGAATAAGAATATATGGGATTTAAATGGACATCTATCAAAAAGAATTGAAAACAACGTATTTGATGTTTATTATACCGGGTACCATCAAAAATAAAAAAGTTACAGGTGGTGGTACTTTATATCTTGACACCCTGTACATCAAATACGTTGTTTTAATTTTTTTATTATGGATGTCCATCTAAAACCTATATATTCATATTTAAGATTAGCAAGAGGTAGGCACAAAATGGCGGCGTTTTCCATTATAAATATATAGAAGAACCCATCAAAAAAGACAACAATTGTCGCCACACTCGCCACTGTGGTTAAGAGAGTCACTGTAGCCCAGTGTTGCCAATCGTTCGCACCTAAATTCTCCACCTTGACTAATAAAATTCTCCGCATTTTGCTGAAATTATCCGCTTTAAGGTCTGTTACAACAAGCCAAAAACCATCCCGTGAACGGTTCTGAAACCACTCTGTATATGAATTTTGGATTCTACACATAAATTTTGTGCTTCGCGCAGAATCTTGTCGGTACAGTGTACGGTTTCCTGCGGTGTTGGAACAAAGCAATAATTTTCCTATTTCTGGAGAAAAAGTCGAACAGTTTGATGGTCGATGATTGTCGTTACTCGTTGCCCTTACTTTAGAATGTGCCCCATTAACAATTTATCTATTTTCAAGAAATTCATTAATTTTAAATTAAATGGAAGGACGTTATGACTATGAGGTCTGTTCCAACCCGCCAAAAAAACATCTCTAGAACGATTTCGCAATCACACTGTAAACGAATCTCGGATTCTACGCACAAATTTAACGTTTTACGCAGAATCCTGACGGTGAAATGTACGGTGCCCTGTTTCCTGCTGGGTTGGAACCATTGAGGTTGGAAGCTATGGCATGTCATGTCATTTATGTCCAATAAGTGACCTGTTTGTCCCGAATCTCTGAATCCCAAGACCCAAATATCTTCCTAAATTTTTATTTTAGCTGAAACTTTGAATTAATTTTAATTTTTACATCAATATTGATAAAAAATTATCTCCGCACAATTCTCCGCAAAAAGCGAATCTCCGCACAATTCTCCGCAGACCTCAAAATTCTCCGAGAAACGGAGAATTTTCCGCCGACTGGCAACACTGCTGTAGCCCGCCGCCCGGTCGCACGACCCCTAGCGACTAGCAGAAACAGTTATAATAGCAGTATGTGCTCATAAGAAGGGCAAAGTTTGTGTTTGGCTTTACAACAGAACTGGAATCCTGAATATAATGAAGAAAAGCAGAATTCAAAAAAAAATAAAATATTTTTTTGTTGCCTTTTTGCCGCCCCTTCAAGTCTGCCGCCCTAGGCGACCGCCTAGTTCGTCTTATGGTTGCGCCGACCCTAAAGTTTCGCACTCATTCCTATGTGCCCGTGCGATAAACATTTTCAATGTTACTTAAAAACATACATACAAACATACATACAGGTGAAGCTAATATAAGCGTGTTAAAAATACTAAAAACTCAAAGCGATTGAGTTATTATTAATAGACTTGTAGTCTAGGAAAATAGTCGAAAAATACATACATTGCAAAAAAAAAATTCCTACCCAAATGAACTTTTCAGGGATGATAGGGGGCGGGTGGGTGATCATAAAACCGAAAATATCAAACATTCACCCCTCTGGTGTTTTGCGCTATAGGGGTTGAAAGTGTGCCATTGGCGATTACTTGGTACCTATTGATTTTACAAAAAAAAAATTCAAATAAAAGATGAAGTTTTTACTCACCCCCTGCCGTTTTTCAATAGGGGTAGTTTAAAGTTTATTAATTTTTTCACAAAAAAAATTTCCTCATAAAAGTTTTATAAGATTACATTTCCTACAATTTTTCCCAATCAACTTTTTTTGTAACTCACCCCCATTCAGCGGGGGGACACTTCTCTTAGGGAAATTTTAGTTTTTAGGGGTATATATTATTTTTTTTTTCTTTTCTCGCCTTTAGTGCATATAAAAAGGTGCAATTAACATTGTATTAAAAGGATTTTTTTTCCACCACTTTTTTGTTTTTAGGGGTAGTTCGCCTATTTTCAACTTTACAGAAAAAAGTTATAGAGAAAAGTTGCTCAAAATAATGAAATGAACAAGTTTTCTTATTATATTTTTTCTGTAAAGTTGAAAATAGGCAAACTACCCCTAAAGACAAAAAGGTGGTGAAAAAAAAAATCCTTTTAATACAATGTTAATGCAACTTTTTATATGCACTAAAGGCGAAAAAAGAAAAAAAAAAATTAATATATACCCCTAAA